TTTTTTTTCGTTTTATTCTTCTTCGTTTTCGTATCCGTTTTTTTTTCTACTTCGTTTTTTTTCGTTTTTTTTCCTTCTTCGTTTTCGTATCCGTTTTTCTTTTTCTACTTCGTTGTTTCCGTTTTTTCTTCTTCGTTTATTTTCTTTTTCTACTTCTTCGTTTTTTCGTTTTTTCTTCTTCGTTTTCGTATCCGTTTTTTTCTACGTTTTTTCGTTTTTTCTTTCTTCGTTTTCGTTCCTTCGTTTTTCCTTTTTCTACTTCGTTTTTTTTCTTCTTCTTTATGTTCTTCTTATTTTTCTTCTTATTTTATCGTTATGTTGTTTTTTTTATTTTCATTTTTTTTTATCTGTTTCATTTTTATATGTTATGTTTGGATACATGTAAACGCTGTTAAAATCGTTGTATTTATTCCCCGATGTGGCTATTCTTCTCCTTCGTTCTCTTCTTCTTTTTCTTCGTTTTGTTTCTGTTCTTTTTTTTTATTTTGTCTTGTTTATCTTTTTTTGGATGTTATGTGGGATATATTGAAGTGCTGTTTGATTTTTTTTTCATTTGTTTCTGTTTTTTGTTGGTAATTTGTCTTATTTATATGTCCTTTTTTTTATGTAAGTTTAGGATACACTGAAGCGCTGTCGAGATCTTGCTTTTCCTTCTTCCTTCCCTTCGTTTTCTTTGTTTTTGTTTCTGTATTTGACTTTGACTGCAATTTGTCTTTATTATTTCGTTTTCTTGTTTTTTCTGTATTTTACTGGCAATTTGTCTTTATTATTTCGTTTTCTCGTTTCTGTATTTTCTGGCAATTTGTCTCATTATTTTTCTGTATGTATGTTTGGGGGAGACTAAAGCATTGTTAAGATTTTTTTTTTTTTATATATTCCGATATGGATCAACAGGTTTTCTGTTTTTCGCAAGTTTGGTTTTATTGGTAATTTGTCTTATGTTTATTTATTTATTTATTTATTTTTGTATGTTATGTTTGGGATATAATTAAACGCTGTTTAATGATTATTTATTTATTTATTTATTTTTGTATGTTATGTCTGGATATAATTAAACGCTGTTTGATCTATTTATCAAAGCGCTGTTTGATCTATTTTTCGATTTGTTTCTGTTTCTTGTTGGTAATTTGTCTTATGTTTATTATTTTCTTTTTGTATGTTATATTTGGGATATAATGAAGCGCTGTTTGATCTATTTTTCGATTTGTCTTATTTGTATGTCCTTTTTTCTTGTTGGTAAATTGTCTTATTTGTGTGTAAGTTATGATTGGAATACACTGAAGCGCTATTCCCCCCCCCCCCCCCCGATTTGGATCAACAGGTTTTCTGTTTTTCGCTGAACGTCGGTGAAAGCAAGGTTGGTCGAGGAAGCACATGGCTGTCAGGAGGAACATAATTAGAACGCGTCTAGTTCTTCGATCACAAGCTGTTGGTTATCATCATTCTTCTTTTATTTTTTCTATTCTCTTTCTCTTTATGTATTTTCTATTTTCTTTTTTCTTTCTCTCTCTTTAGATTCGTCTCTTCTATTTTTTCTTTCATTTTTAGCTTCTTTTTAAATTTTTATTTGCTATTATTTTTAATCGCCGCCTTTCGTATCTTAAGCATGAATTATTTTTAGACTCGTCTTTCAATGTTATTTTTTTTTTCATTTTTAGCTTATTTATTTTCATTTTTTTTTTTTATCTATCTTTTTTTTTAATCGCCGCTTTTTCGTATTTAAAGCGTGGATTATTTTTTCTTCTTGGGAGGTCGACCTTGCACTTTCTACAGCCTCGACCCCTTCGACGTGTTAAATACGAGAGTGAAACGAATTTTTAAAGAGCATTTGTTCCCAGGTCAGTGTGTGAGAAAGTGGAGGATACTGGTGAAGGAAGGAGGGAGGGAGGGAGGAGAGAGGGGGGAGGGTTGGGGGGTAGGGGGAGGGTTAGGGGTAGGGGGGGAGGGTTGGGAGGGTGGGAGGGAGGGAGGGAGGGAGGGAGGAAGGGTGGGAGGGAGGGAGGAGGGAGGGAGGGAGGGTGGGAGGGAGGGAGGAGGAGGAGGTGGGAGGGTGGGGCGGGTAGGGGGGAGGTAGGTTGGTGTTTGGGGTGGGACTCGGGAGGGGTAGTTAGGGGCGGGAGGGGGGAGAGGGGGAGGAGAGCGTGGCAGATGGCAGAACGCGCAGCAGATGTGGCGGTAATTTGTGTTGGGTTGGGTGGGTGGGAGGAGGGGGAGGGAGGGAGGAGGAGGAGGAGGAGGAGAGGAGGGGAAGAAGAAGAAGAAAAAGAAAAGGACGAAGAAGAAGAAGAAGAAGAAGGAGAAAGAGGAAGAGGGAAAGGGGAAGGGGAAAGACAAAAAAAAAATAAATAAATAAATAAAGAAGGAGGAGAATAAGTAGAGGAAGGCGGAAGGAATAGACAGAGGCGGTAAAGTCGGAAGAGAAGGAGAGGGGAGAAGGTATCCGAATGGAGGAGGAAGTAGAGGAAGGAGGATGGAGTAGACAGAGAAAATAAAGGAGGAGGAAGAGGAGGAGAGGGGAGAAGGTATCCGAAAGGAGGAGGAAGTAGAGGAAGGAGGATGGAGTAGACAGAGAAAATAAAGGAGGAGGAAGAGGAGGGGAGGGGAGAAGGCATCCGAAAGGAGGAGGAAGTAGAGGAACGGAGGATGAACGAGAAAATAAAGGAGGAGGAAGAGAAGAAGGAGAGGGGAGAAGGTATCCGAAATTCCTCGCCGCTCTCGTTCCAGCGCCACCCCGGGCACGAAGGGAAGGGCTTTCTCTCCCTCCCCTCGTGCCATACGGGAGCCACGCCCCCTGGGTATGGCCCCCGGGTACCGCAGGTGATACCCCTCGTTAATTAAAGTCGCGGCGAGTGAAAACGGAGTTCCGGATGGCAGGGTGTGTTTCGCGGATGGAGGATGGTTGCGCGAACACATGCTAGGGTTTTCTTTCTGTTTGTCTGTCTGTCTCTGTTTCTCTCTCTCTATGTCTGTCTGTCTGTCTGGCTGGCTGTCTCGCTTGCTCTCTCTCTCTCTCTCTCTTTATCTCTCTCGCTCGCTCGCTCGCTTGCTCTCTCTCTCTCTCTCTCTCTCTCTCTCTCTCTCTCTCTCTCTCTCTCTCCTTCTCTCCTCTCTCTCCCTCCTCCCTCCCTCCCCTCCTCTCCCTCTCCCTCCCCTCTCCTTCTCCTCCCTCTCCCTCTCCTCTGCGTGTGTGTCTAATGGCAAATGCATATTATTTTCTCTGACTCATCGCTATCATTCGAGCAGCTAATATTTACAATCCTTTTCATTGGATATAAGATTAGCATGATAGACATTTTGGATTCACATACAGAAGGAAACAGTTAGATAAAAAGAAAAGTGGAAAATAGAAAGATAAAGAAGTAGAGAAGAAGAAGGCGTAAAGAAGAAACAAAAATCTGACAAAAAGAAAAGTGGAAAAAAAAAGAAGTGGAAGAAGAATAGGGAAAAATGTAAAGAGAAAAAGACGAAAGAAGATGAGAGAGATAGAGTAGAGGAAGAATCTGAGGAATAATAATTATAATGAGAAGAAGAAAGAAAAGAAGGAAGATAAAGAAAGATGAGGAATCTATAGAGAAAGAAGAAGAAAAAGAAGCTAAAAATGAAAAAGAAAGACGAATACAAAGAGAAAAAAGAAAATATATAAAGAGAAAGAAGAATAGAAAAACTAAGAAGAAACTTAAGAAAATAGAGAGAACATTCTAAAGAAAAAGAAGAAAAAAACAATAAAAAAGAAGAAAAAGAAGACGAAAAAGAAGAAAAGAAGAAAACTAAGAAAACGACGAAAAAAAAATAAGACAATCTTAAAGAAGAATAAAAGAAGAAACTACAAAAAACGAAGAAAAAATGTATAAGAACAATAATAAACAATAAAAAAATAATAAGAAAGCATAAAAAGAAAAATAAGAAAGCAATGAAAAAAATAATAAGAAAAGCTAGAAGAAATAGAAGAAAAAAAAAATCTAAAAATAATAAGAAAAGCAATAAAGGATAAGAAGAAAGCAATAAAAAGATAATAAGAAAGCTAGAATAATCGAAGAAAGAAAATATCTAAAAATAATAAGAAAGCAATAAAAGAATAAGAAGAAAGCAATGAAAAATAATAAGAAAGCTAGAAGAAATAGAAGAAAAAAAAATCTAAAAATAATAAGAAAGCAATAAAAGAATAAAAAGAAAGCAATAGAAAAATAATAAGAAAGCTAGAAGAAATAGAAGAAAAAAAATCTAAAAAATAATAAGAAAGCAATAAAAGAATAAGAAGAAAGCAATAGAATAAATATAAGAAAGCTAGAAGAAATAGAAGGAAAAAAAAAAATCTAAGCCCAATCTTGAAGAGAAAGGAACGCGAAGGACTCACTCCTCAACTCTCTTACTCTCTCTCTCTCTCTTCTCTTCTCCTCTCTCTCTCTCTCTCTCTCTCTCTCTCTCTCTCTCTCTCTCTCTCTCTCTCTCTCTCTCTCTCTCTCTCGCTCTTCTCTCTCTCTCTCTCCTCTCTCTCTCGCTTCTCTCTCTCTCTCTCTCTTCCTCTCTTCTCTCGTCTCGCTCTCCTCTCTCCCTTCTCTCGCTCTCGCTTCTCCCGTTCTCTCTTCTCTCTTCTCTCTCCTCTCAACATCCATGTCGGAATCCGCAGACAATATTTCATTGACGTTTTATTAGAAGTGAAAGTACACGAAATACAGGTAGCATGCGGTGCCTATTTTNGAGAGAGAGAGAGAGAGAGAGAGAGAGAGGTGAATGGATAGAAAGATATGCATATACTTCATTTTCAACTCATCCTTCTACACATTGACAACCCACTCACTCTGGAACTGAAGAGAGTAACAGGATGATCTCATACCCAGAAGGTAGCTATTTAACTCTAGTTGAATTCCCTCTTTCTTCTCTTCTCACCTTCTCTTAGTCACATTTTTACTTCCTCCTTACCTCTTCGTAACAAACAAACAATAGACAGATACGACGAGGATAATAAGCCAATCACATACAGGAACGAGTCAGACACCGAGTGTGAATCCAATCCAAAATCATTTATTAATCCTTCTACACTCCCGCATCCTACTCAATCCAAGGAGCTTAACGCCCGGCCCGACGCGTCCCCTCGCTTCTCATCGTCTCCTGCGAGCACCGAGGATGTCGTTGAGGTCGGGGACGACATCGGCAGGCAGCTCGCCCAAATCAGGGAGGTCAGGGATGTTCAAGGGAGCGTCGTTCATGCTGAACGTGCCGTCTTCGTCCAGACCCACGTCGAATGCTGGGGCGGGGCTGCAGGTGTTGTGGTTGATCTGGTCGAAGTCTTCGACGTCGTAATTTGCCTTTTCCAGGTCGGTCTTGATCTGGTTGGGAGGCAAAGGACAGGTGAAGTGAATAAATAAAATAGCTAAACGATTTCCAAACGTATATAAAGATAGATAGATAGATAGATAGATAGAT